ATCAAAGGAAAAGAAAAAGAAAAGACAAGCAATATTTCTATTTCTGCACTAACTAAAAGCTCCACCTGATAGATGAGCTCTCAAAGAACTTAAAACCTGATGGTATGGAATGATCTGCAGGATTGGGCCTGAGTGCCAAAGCATGAAATAAAATGCACAAATGAGCTCACCATGGCCAGATGAATTTCCGTAGAAGGCCTGTTGATCACAACGCCGTACTCCAGTGTTTGCTCAAGGTATGTTTTTCAGTCATCCGATCTACCTCACTAAGTGCTCAGACTGTGCCTTTCGCTTTGATATCCGAGCACTCGGCACACATCCTGCTGCAGCAGCAGCACTGGGGAGGCCTGCGAAACTCAGCTTTCAGGTGAACCAAGAAATAGGCACTGGAAGGAGGGGGAAAGAATTGGCAAACCCAACTATTCTGTCAGCATTTAAACTTGCCAAAGCATTTTTGATGAAAAGATTTCAGCAAAGTATGTTATTTTGTTAAAGCTAATGTGTCTCAGCGAAAGATAATTTTTGACACGGCCTTGAGCAGAAAGGGGACACGCTCGCCTTTCAGACATGGTCCCCCGTTCTGTCTGAATAACGAGAAGCGAAAACACTTCCCTGAGTCAGAGCAGTAAGTTGAATCTCCAGCAGCGTTGCCCTTGCTCTAACGAGCAGGCAGGGAGGCCTGTTCACACACATCACCAGAACATGCCTTTTGGGTGAACCCTTTTAAAAGGTTCTGCTTTTGTTCCAAAGAAAATAAAATTTCATCCTCCTTACCTCAACTACAGTACTTAAGTCACCATTCTGCGTTAGCAGGAGCTTTATTAATACCAAAGCTGCATTTGCATTTACTTCCAAGGGGTACTGGGGGAGCTGTCTGCCAGGACAAGGTAAAGCACGGCGATCGCGGCTGCACGTGGCTGGGACAGTAACAAGGATGGGTTTTGCCTTAATGATGAAGACTTCAATCCCAGAATCAGTTTTAGCAGTTGTTAAAATGAACTTGGGCTGGGAAGTACTGTAGCTGTTACTGGAAAAGCGAGAGAGGAGGGTGTGACCTTTTTTGCTTTAAAATAATAAAATAAATATGACCTTTGATACATTTTTGCATCACAGAGGATATTTTGTAGACAATTTAAAAAAACCCACAACAATTTTAAAACTGCACAATAAAGTTTTATAAGACACAGCTGAGGAACTTCAGCTTTGTACATTATTTAATTCAAACATATACAATAAGAGAAAAATAACAGGAATGTAAGTTTGTACTGATTTCCAGAAAATAGATTCATTTGACAAACAATGTTCCAAGAGTAAATAAACCTTGTAATGCAATTACTTCAGAACAAATGCACATCAAGCTACTGCAGTCCTATACATTGTACTTCAGCCGTCAACAGCCAATTCATCTGCTCTGTAGCCAGGATACTTCATTCACAACATGTGTAACAGCACAGGGATGGTAAGATGCACAAAGTAATGTACGTAAGATAAAATGTTACAAAACGCTTGTCAAAATAAAATATATATGCAAGTCATCCCTAGTATTTACAACAAATAGTTTTAAATTAGAGATCGTTCAGAAGGCATCTCCTACATACAAATGCCACACATATAGAAAAAAAGCAGAAAGGCAGTCAAAGAAAGATACTGCGTTAGTTATGGCTAAAGACCTTTGGCTCCAAAACTCTGTTATAATTATTTTCAAAAGACAACTAAAATGTGGAACATTTGAATAGTCTGTCTTTGAACTCCTTTATTACACTGACCACTAAAACTCAATGTGAAATTTAGCATGGCAAAAGCCACTTGTAAAACAATCTTATTATTTTATACATCAAATGCTCCGAGTTAGATGCAATTATGGTTTGGCATTACCCTAACTCAGTGGGAACACATTTGAGGACAATTATATTTTACCGCATCTCATGCATAAAGTCTGAGGTTATCTGCTCAGCAGGCCATTGGGAAGGCTCTGGCTGTGCTTTTATCTAAATGAGGCACAAATGTGCTTAGTAGTTGCCCTAGAACTTTTTCTAGTAACTTAAAGCATGCAAAAGCGAGAGGAAAAGAACAGATGTTGCCATCACACCTTTCTGGTCATCTGTAAGTTTTGTCATCAGGAGGAGGATCAGGGCCAGGCTTGCTAGAATACAAACTTGAACATTTTAGTTGCAACTCTTTTGCCCACAGATTCTCAAGTCAGGCTGAACCCCAAGTAAATATTTGTTTTAATTGTTGGATAATGAAATTGTGTGTTTTCATTTAACTGTAATTTGTTTAAAAGATTATGGCCTGTCGTGTTACATTTTATCTTAATCTGCTGCAAGGTCAGATTGCAAAGACAGACACAGAGAATATTATAAAACAACCATGTCTATACGTAGGGTACTATATGTAAAATTGTCCTGAGTAATCTGCACCATGAAACATTTGCTTTTCACCTCTCTGAAATTCACTACTTGAGGAAAAAACCCTGCTGCATCCAAAACCATATGCAAACATTTCTGTTCATTTTTAGGGCTAAGGCACCAGCACTGCTATGAGGGAAGAGCCTTCATGGGCACTGACATGTCAGAAGATACATCCCAAAATCTCCTTTTTTCTCCAGCACTGCACAGAACCGAGCCCTGGATGGAAGTAGGTTTTAGCAAAGACAAATATGTAAGTTAAGTGTGTATCTCATAATGTCTTCAGGTCCAGCTGGGAAAGTTTCTGGGTGAGCACTGCAATCCAACTTCAGACATTTTTTTGCATCTAGAACAAGTCTTTCAAAATGTGATTATGAAAAATTATCTCCACTTCCACAGTACATGCACCGCTTCGGTTTGCAGGCCTGACCATGGCAAGTATCCACGAAAATGGGTAAGAAACACAAAAGGGTTGCTCATTAAAGAGGAAGGGCATGCATCCATGCCTGCATTTGGAAGTCTGCTCCTTGTGTTTAAATTGAGCATTTAGAATTATCTTTAAAAAAAAATCTGAAAAGAGATGGCTTGTTTTAAACATCAAAAGAAAAATACAACCCAGACAGTTTTTTTCACTAACTTTCCCGTGCATTTTCTTTAAGCTGGATCATTGAAAATGTCAGTGTGTATTTCCAGTTCTTAACTGTTTCAGGTCATCTTCCATCGCTATGGGAAAACACAAGCAATGAAGTTCACTGTGCAGTGAACAATTCAGCTGAGCATCACCAGACTTTGCATTATTGCTGAGCTATATACACAAGGCATTTGAAATGTACAGTTCTCAAAAGATGTAATTTAAAATCAAAACTACAAACCTGGGCTTTGCAGAAGTTGCCACAAAGTTATCAAATCACAAAATCTAGTGACTACTGGGCTTCACAACACAGACGATAAATAAAAATATAGAGGTAACAATAGTAGTAGGAACAAATGTTTAAAATAAGGCTTTTTTACACTGTTGTTAAGATGCCTGGCCTCTAGCCCCTTGTTTGTTCTTCATATATTACAGATTCATGACAAAGCTGATTGTGTCCATTGCCAAAGAACACTCTTGGATCTATCCTTATCATCAGATAATGCCCCTAATCAGCAGCATAGGATAAAGTATTGTAAAGACATTCATAATAAATCAGTTCTGAAACATATGGAGTCTTTATTTCCTTCCATATTACCAAGTGTCATCATCCTTAGTGAGAGTTATCAAGCAGAAATGATCAGTGCTGCAAATATCAAGATCCTGTTTCTTCCTGGTGGTTTTTTAAAAGTTAATTCTCCCAAATCAGCTTCATGTCATAGGCAAATTGCAGCAATGCAAATCACGTATTGCATATGCTGGCGTCAGGTTCTTTCCCTTCCGATACAGACTGACGACTCAGAGACAAAAATCCAGCTCTGGTCCACACAATTTCTGTGTCTCTTCCAGTAAGGATTTCTCCTTCTTTGTGAAGAAATAATTGGTCAAAACCCATTGTCAATTGACTGTGTATAAGAAGCATGGATTCAGACCACTTCGATATATTTACATTACCATTCATCCATTTTCTAAGTCAAGCTATATGAATACAAAGTGTGAGAACTATGTAACATAGCCAGCAGTCAGTACATACTGTCTCAACTCTGACTTTGTACATTCACATTATCTCTGTTAAAAAATAAAAAAAATACTTTTTACGCAGAGAAATAAGCATATTGGAAATAAAAAGAAGTGTCTCCCAGGCTAAGAAGTGCGCAAAAAGTGATATAAAAGCTCTACACTGAAGAGCATACGTGCATGCAGTATATTGCTGCGACTGAAAGTAATCAGTCTGAGATGCCCTGGGCTCCTCTTGTTTCCACTTGTGCGCAACAAATGCACATATCCTTACAGTCCATTTTGCACTCTGTTCACATTTCTATATGACAGAATAAAATTTCCCTGTTCCAATCTGGAATATGGTAAGGCCTTGTGGGACATTCTCCTGCCATTTGGCAATTTAATAGAAAAAGACAGGAAGGATTAGGGTCCACCAAATTCTGCAACAGCAGGTTAATCACGTGGGATTTCTCCACCTGATTTTAATGGGCGGTTTCTGCCCAGTGCTCCAAAAGGAAGGAGAAAACTCTCCTAAGATTCCTTGCTGATACACCTACCCTTAAGGAAAAACTCCTCCCTATCCTAAATTTGGCCATCAATATAAGATTAAGAAAAATGAAATGTTACAATGACCTGCATGATTCCATCGCTACTTCAACAAAACTAAGAAACAGAGACCAAATACTGCTGCTTCAGAGTAACGGCAAGTTGTCTTTGTCAGACAGGAAATTGCTCTTCATCAGCAATGCTGACACCTGGCAACATTGACTTCAGAGCAGAGTTGAAGAACTTCATTCTTCCTCTGGACAAAGGTGGTATTTCTGGCTCAAGGGAGCCCAAGGTTTTCCCTCCAAAACTGGAGAATCACTGAGCTCAAATAAGCTTAACTGTATCTCCAAGGTCCTTCTCTGCATGGAGTAAGTCTCCCTCCGTGCTGATGTCCTTCCCAGGTCCTTGGCCTCTCACTTTTTGAAGGGGGTGAGTTTGTTGAAGGTATGCCAGAAGAGGGATGGCTTCCGCTTGGGTTCTGCCAGGGCAAAAACCTGCTGCTGCGGGATGCTGGTAGGCACAGTGATGTGGCGCTGATGAATAGGATGCAGGCTTTGGTGTGGAGGAGGCACAGGACGCCCGTTGTAGCTTACACCTGCAAAAGGAACAGTTTAAGAAAGCATATGAGTCAGTTAGCAGAGCAACCAATACTGGGAAAATTTAAGCACAGGATCATAGGACAAATTCAGTGATCAATAATGCCAGTATGCTTCCATGATCTTAAATGGAAGCACTACAAAAGTTTACCTTTTCTGATGTTAGACTTTTTAATTACTGCATTGATTTGGCTTAGGAAGATCATACCAGTAAAAATAACATTACAGAATTACCCAAAATAAGCAGCACTTTCACATAGCTTGGCTATATTGTTTGCACAAGTAAATTCTGGTATTTCAAAGGAATGACTTAACACAGTAGATACTCATATTTTAGTCAACTCTCAGAACAAGGCTGGGTAAAATATTGCTACCAACAAAAATGTTATTTCTTCAATTTGGAAAATATTTTTCCAGGCTAATGTTCTCAGACTTCGACCTTTGTGCATTGATCATGATTTTCAGCCACTCCCCTGAAAATCCAAACAGGTTTTATAGGTATCTAGTGATTGATAAAGAGAAAATGCTTTAATAATATTAACTCCAGAGAGCAGACGAGTACCTAACATCAACTCCTTTACTCCTAAATTCAGACTTAATCTGGTCCCACTTCCTCAATTTATTTTCTCAACACACTAGAGATTAAACCAAATTTGACTTTAAGATGGAAAAGGACAAAATCACATTTTCTGAGAGAGAAATTGAATAAAAAAGCTGTTTCCAGATAAATATGTTTCTAGGCCATCCTTCCTTCTAGTCTAGGACAGAAGGAAGCCATGTTGAGTGTGTTATCATAAATACAGAAACACGTGGCTTGCAAAAAGAACTTTAGGATATTTTAGAGAAAGCATAGAATTGCTAAAGAAGAACAAGCTGTTCGAGTAAAAGCAAAGGAAGGAATCAGTAACCCTCATTTCTAATTTAATCTCTGCATGCGCTTTCTTACATCTTTACACAAACCACCTGCCTTACCTCTTGAGTTTCTTATTTAGTAAAGACAATACTGACTTGCCTGTCTGAAGGAGACTTGAGAGCTGATTTAGTAGACACTTTACAAAGGCATTGGAATTTTATATTAAAATACAGGTTAATTGAAATTATTTCAACTCCATGTAAACCATGAATTTTTTTTTTTAAAGATTGAAGAATTCAACTATGGCCAGATCATGCTACTTCCTAACATAAAGAACACTGGAACACAGTAAGTATGTAAAGCAATTCTGAACACCCACCTTTAATTTTTCCATGCCTTGACTTACGGGCATTCTGCATGGCTTGTTTCTTCTGGTTTTCTGAGATTTCCATTCCTATGTCAAAGTGTAAATTAGGGCACTGGTATAAAAATACTGTATCTAATAATTGATTACATTAAATTAAAACAAATAAGTAAACTATATTTTAAACCATTTTTAGTAAATCTTAATAGTAATACACTTGATGTTTGGAGAAGTATATTTTACTTTGTCATATAAATTTAAAGATAGTTTTTCACTTGGATAACAATAGGAACATTAATTTGCTTGTAGATTACTCGGAAAAGCTGCTTTCCAGTTCCTGCAAATGGCAATCACTGAGGAACTAACCACACAAAAAGTTCTTTTTATAGATAAGTCCAAATAACAAGAGATTAAAAAGAAATGTAAATTACACTTCTGAAAGTTACAAGCCACCAAGTAATAGATCACAAATGCAGAATCTGTTTCTTTTTTCACTCACTCTGAGCTAACTTGGGGTAACAAATTGAAGTCACTGGTATTGCACCAGTACAAATTTGGGTATCTTTCCCTCCACTCAGAGACAGCATCACATAATCTGCCAGACACCAAAGCAGGCTGTGATGTGGTTAAGGCTGCATCAGAATGGGGCTGGATCACTCACTCGGGTTTCTCATGTACTTGTTTGCACACTTGTACGACTTACCTGATCCTATAGTATGTGGTCACCCCTAAGCTATTTACTCTCATGTGATAGGTGTATGACTGATCTGTGCTGAGAACAGAGACGCCAGACATAAGCTATGAAAGGCAACACCGGTGACTGGTGTCGTTTGGGGCCCACGCACCGGCACTCGAGTTGCCTCTCCATGTGTACAAGACAGTTGAGACACATGGATATGGTACATACATTAGCACAAGGAGACAACAGAGTGCACATGCTGTCACTCGTTTCACTCATATGCGCATAAAGAGCACAGAAGTTTTGACTGAAAGTCAGAATGAAGCGTCTGGTTTGGTTCCATTTTGCATCTTCCCACCATACTTTTAAAAGTCCCTTTATGTTTTTAGCCTGAACTTATGAAGAAGTTATTACAAATCAGCCTATTAACTTACAATACAACAGCAGTTAGCCACAATTTTGGGGTAGCAGAAGTTGATTTTATTCTGCAGGGTTTTTTTTCCTTTATAGAAACAAGGAAACAAATATATAAAAAAAAAAAAGAAAGCAATTTCATCAACAGAGATCAGACCACTTTCTTAGGGTTACTATTAGTGGTTTGGAGAAGAGTTTTCTGGCTGTGGCCTTTTCTTCCCATATATTCATAAAAGCTAAGAAAAGCTAGATATGGTTTGGGAGACAGTGACTCGCACCAAAGTGTCTTTGAAAATAGAAGTAAAATGCCATTTGCAGTTCTGAATTGGAAGAGTACGTATTTGTTCTCTGAGTGGTCAGATTAGAGGCTTTGTGTGAAGTCCAGCAAGATAGCTTACAAAATCAACAAGATAAATTTAAACCTGAGGTTGAGAATACTGGCGCCTTTCCACTGGTTTTGGCTAAAGGAAATGTTCAATTATGCCCAAAAATGAAATTTTAGAGAAGAAGCAGTCTTCTGGGTAATGCAGAAAACATCCAAGCCACTGTGACTCACAAGACCAGATGGACATTAGCTATTACAACTCAACTGTCTTTCCTCTGGTTCATGATACCTATGCCAAAACAGGTACCACTAAATCTGAATAATGAGTCACAACATTTGCAAAACAAGTTTCCAGAAGGCTAGATGTTATATGGGCAGAAAAGGCTGCATGTGCCTATGTGCCATTATCAAAAAATACACCTTCTCATGATACTGAATTTTCTTCACTATATTGCACAGTGCTTTAAGAGCAGCAAACACAATGCACCGTCCCTTGCAACCCTGGCGCTCAGCACCATGGGACTTTGTGACCCAGCCCTAAATAAGGCTTAGTGCTATTACGACGAATCTCATCATTATCACTGCCACTGCCACCACTGTTGAATGGTTACCCTTTTGAGTGTCAGATGTTGATTTTCATGAGGTCCCAGTAGAGTAATGACATGTAGGGCTGTAGCTGCTACAGCTTTGCAGTTTCCCCATGCTTGGAGATGTCTGGAGCAGCGTCACCTACAAGGAACAGTAACACCCCACTGCCTGCACAAGACAGACCTACTGCTGCCCATAGCAAGCACTAGTGCAAGCCTCAGAAGCATCTTGACGTACAACATTTAGCTTGCTCAACATACTCTCCCAGTGCTCCATAAAGCAGCCACTGCAGGAGGAGGTGTAGATACAGATTTGAAGATCTCAGAAATGATGGGAATGGAAAATGCTTACATTTTCTCTTCTTTTCCTCAGCCCTGTTCACAAAAGTGCACAGGCTGTGATTTACTCAATGTCATCCTTCCATATGACTGTAGTACTCTTCTCGTCGTATGCGGGAGTAGAGGCTTTCAGTAACTTTGTTACAAGAGGGATTGTTTTGATCCTCATCATCACATCCTCTACGTTGTTTTATTATCTTCCAATCACCTTCACCCTTTTGCAATATCCACTTTATTTTAGAATTCTGTTTAGCTGAATTAGGAAAGGCAGCCATCACCGACACCCATGAGCACAAGGTGACTGAACAAGCTCTACACAGAGGAACTTGTGAAAACCATCAGTGTTGTGCTCAACAGGATCATAATGTCACATCGTAATGTTCAGAAGACTTGGTTTTGAAAAGTTTGGAAAGTTTAAGGAAAGCTTGAGGAAGTTTAGCAGTGGCTTTTTCATTGTTTACTCTGGACTCGAGAAGATTGGTGTTAATTGCAACTGTTGGTACAATGGGGAAGAGTTAAAACTGGTTTTAGAGTATGAATTGGTAAACTTCAAAGTATTTTCTTTAACTTATGGACCATCTATGAGACGTTTGGAGGAGGCCTTGTTTTTGTCATCTTTACAACAGTATCAAACAAGAAAAAGGGACTAAGACCAAAAGGTTTACATTTGTAATCTAAGGGTTATTCCTGTCTTCATATTCTTCTGACCAGATGTTTTAAGTGAACATGGAATATAAGATTTGGCATCTTACTTAAATTTTAATAATTTCTGAGTTATATCATCCACTTCACTGCACTTCCAATTTTTATCTGCTGTCATCCAATGCCTGAAGAGTGTTATAAAAAGGAGAAGTTCTCATGCAGTCAACACACTCAGATGCACTAGTACTTCTATTATTTCTTTAGGAATATTAAAGAGAGTTTTATTTTACTTCTTAGTGTTGCTGTCTTCTTTGTGTATGTTTTGCCAATGAAATTTTGCTGGAGTTTTTGTCACTGATCTTAAAGGAAGCATAAAACTATGCAAAAAAAAAAAATTAAATAACAATCCTAAAGGTACATTCACACAGAAGGCACTGTCCTCAGACTGTCCCACAGGCTCTGGGTCTAAAGTTGATCCTAGGATTTGCAAGGTCCTACCTTTTTCCCTCAAGGAAACTCGAAGTTAGGCTTCATTTCTCTGTAAACTGCCCAGTGGTGCAGAAGGCCAACCGTATTCTGGGCTGCATCAAAAGAGGTGTGACCAGCAGGTTGAGGGAGGTGATCCTGCCCCTCTACTCCGCTCTCGTAAGACCCCACCTGGAGTACTGCGTCCAGCTCTGGGGGCCCCAGCACAAGAAAGACATGGAGCTGTTGAAGCGAGTCCAGAGGAGGGTCACAAAGATGATGAGAGGGCTGGAGCACCTCTGCTGTGAAGACAGCCTGAGAGACTTGGGGTTGTTCAGCCTGGAGAAGAGAAGGCTCTGGGGACACCTTAGAGCAGCCTTCCAGTACCTGAAGGGGCCTACAGGAAAGCTGGAGAGGGACTGGTTACAAGGGCATGGAGTGACAGGACAAGGGGTAATAATGGCCTTAAGCTGAAGGAGAGCAGATTTAGATTAGATGTTAGGAAGAAATTCTTAACAATTATGAGGGTGGTGAGGGACTGGAGCAGGCTGCCCAGAGAAGTTGTGGATGCCCCCTCCCTGGAAGTGTTCAAGGCCAAGTTGGATGGGGCTTTGGGCAACCTGGTCTAGTGGAGGGTGTCCCTGCCCATGGCAGGAGGGTTGGACTAGATGATCTTTAAGGTCCCTTCCAACCCAAACCATTCTATCATGCTTCAATGTTGATGATGATTGTTGGGTCTGCAACTAATGATACCATGCGACTGCACAAGTCTCCTGGACACAGGAGGTGCCATTATACAACACAGATAGTAAAAATCTAGAATTATTGCTGCTTGTCTTTATAATAAAAGTGTCATTTAAGAATAGATGTTTTGGCCCAATGATTCACACAAAATGCTGGGATTTTGTATGGATTTTTGATATTGAGTGGTCTTTGTGAAGTGTGTCTTGTCATGGACCAGCTGCCCTGGACCTTTGGCCCACAATGACAGGGCAAACACCCCTGAATAGGCTTCACTTACTTACACAGCTAAAGGTCACGTTGGGTAAGAGACACCAGTTCCAGAAGGCAGAGTGCACATCTGCACAAAACATAAAGTGTAAAGGCAAGAACATTCTCCTTTGTTTTTACCACCTTTTAGAGAGGAAATCCTTCCACTCACCCATTTCCTTGTCTTCCTGAACTCTTCTCCTTTCACTTTCGCACGCCTCCATCCATCTTTTTTTATCCTCCTGTTTTTTTGCACAGAACAAGTGAATCTCTTCTGTTGCTCTGTTTACTATCTTAAAAGCATTCTTGACATTAATGTTAAAGTCTTTGTCTCTGCCATCTTCAGTGTCCACAATTTCCATCTCATCCATGTCAATACGATCCTTATAATACAATATGTCCCTTCTCAGTAAGTCCTTCTTACAGAAGACAAGCTGATGGTCAAAAAGGAAGAAAGTCCTCTGCTGACTTTTGCCTTGCTTTGATATTTTGGTCAGTTCTCCTGAGTGGATCAGTTCTGAGCTTCTGGCTAACACATCTGGTCCCTAAGAAGACATATATATGTAGTAAGTAAATAATATTTTAAAATCTTGTGTGCCTAACCAGTCTCATTTTACAAGTCTTAAGTTCATTTGTTTTTCTTGTATTTTCATTATTAGATTTGAAAATGTCATAGAATGTAGCTAATCTCATACAGGCAAACTCAATTAATATGGTTCTGCTCTACTTTATTTCTGCATAAATCAGGAAAAAGTCAGTGAAGCAGGTTCAAGTTCTGATAGGGCTACCAAAAATCTAAAGGAGATTCGATAGGTCTAGCGTTTAAAAAAAATCCATTTTGTCATCTCAATCCAGTGTCAGCTCAAAGACAAGTGTCCACATTAATACATGCTGCTCTTCCTGAGTAATAAACAAGGTAATCAGTAACAGATTCACTGCAAATGAAGCAACTGGACTTTTAACTGAGCAACAACCAGTTGAAATGTAGACACCATAAACTACCTACTATGCAGAAAGACAGATCCTGTAGAGGACATGAGGTACTGTACACAGTACCTTTGCTCAGGAAATGGACAGGCTGACACTCACCTCCCAGTCTACGATAGAGACTTGCCAACGTGCAATCTTGTCTATGCTTTCTAGTCTTCGTTTTCGCTCATTGATCAGGCACGCTACATTCTTCATAGCCTCATACGCAGCTTTTATGTTGTTATAATCACTGTGAAATGAAGGCATGTTTCAAAGATCACTTATGCAATGGACATGATGCAATCACAAACTATGATACAGTGCTCTAAGTATTAGCCTGCATAACCCATTTATCCCTCTACTCAGGGTACTCAAGTAAGAGAAACCTGATTCTCAGCTTTCCTGAATGTCACATAGTAATCTGTACAATTCAGTGCTGCTGTACTGCTAAGCTTTGTTCCAGAGCAAATTATTAAACTGGTGGAAGGACGCAGAGGAGGCAGATGAATGAATTGCAATACTGTCTCTACTGAAAACAATGGTAGAAGTCCCACTGACCTCACTGATACCTACACTTCACCAAAGGAATTTGGTTTTAAGCAAGATTTTAGTGGGATTTTATTGTGAAGGGCATTCCTTTAATTGTGTTTAACAACTGTATTTTCTCCTTCTTCGCAATGGCTGGGTCAATGAACACAAGCAGAGAATGCTATGTGGGTAGAAAAAATACCAAAAGCAACCTCAAACAGGGTGAGCGAGGGACCCAAGAACATGAGTACTGAAAAGAATTAAAGAAGACTATGCTGACGAAATTGTCTGTTTTCATGGAACAAGTGTGTGAGAGCCAAGAGTGCCACCTTCCCCTGCTTGCTCCAGGTGAAATGCAAGCCTCCTGTCCTTCTTGCATAGCTCTGCTCCCCTCCTCCTTTCTCTGAGCATCCCACATGCTTATGAATCTCCCCAATCCATCAGCAGATTTTGGTTCCCCTTTGTATAGCATCCATCACTCCTTCATCTTCTTCAAATGGAGTCTTTGAGAAAAGGGAAGGAAAGAGATGTATTTCTTGCCTTAGAGTCCCAGCAGAGCAGCTGCCTTTCCTCCTTTATCAGAACAACTCTTGCAGAAAAGGGAGCCAGAAGTAGAAAACAGCACGAGCCGGAAATAAATCCTGGAAAGGGGTCAGCCTCGCTTTCCTTTTTATCTGCTTCTGTCTTAGTTCCTGTTTTCATCGGCTACTGCTGATGGATGTGCTTCCCTTCTAGATCTGTGCATTACTCTCCTCTCTCTATCTATACCTCTGGAAACTCTTTTCTGCCACGTTGTATACAAAAAGTGAGATTAACAATAACAGGATCCTACTAATGTCAGGGAGATGTCCCACAGGGTGACTGCACGATATCCAAGCTACTACTCTTGCCCTTCCTTATCTTGGTTCCTTCTTTCTCTGTTGGTGTGCACATTATTCCTCACTTGCTGTATAACCTGTGGCCTTCACGGCAGGCTGTGCACATCGGATCTTCAAACTTTTAATGAAAACAAAACAAAAAGCTACCAAAAAGAAAAAAAAAAGTTGGCCGGAGCATTACCAAGGTTCCATGTGGGTGCGGGCCTGCCTGTTTGTGAGCATCCCTCTGTACACCGGGTGCCTGACTGTGTTTGCAGGCATCTCTGGATGCTGTGCCACAGAAGAGAAGAATGAGTACTATGGGTAGAAGGTGGCAAGACCTTGCTGTCACTTCATCTACAGTTTTAGCTCAACAGATACCCACGTTAGCAATTGTTATTGCAGGTCTTCCCAGGGAACCACAGAACTGAATGGAGGCATTCTGCACCTGAATGTCAGTACTTCACATCCCCTGGCAAAACGCCCTTCATCTCCAAGGGGAGTTTCCTCAAGGTTAAAGAAGCACAGACTTTGGGAGGAAGCATTGCCTCAGGCTGTGTTTGGACTTTGAGCACAGGGGTCACAACAGAACATTTTTCTTGCAACTGTACAAGGTAAAAAGGCAGACATTTAAAGATAAAATCTTAATTTAGTCAAAGAGTTAATCAACTCAGTGGTATACTAGTAGAAAGGCTAATAACTTGCAACTTCAATTCTTATTTATCCCAGCTGAAAATTTAATGCCTGGACTTCACTGCAAACAAAGGCAATGTTTATAACTACTAAATTTCTAAAAAAAAAAATTACTTTCAAACTTGCTCAGATTGTGGTGTTTTTCTAAGGTCGTCTTTACCTTTTCTTGTGTCCACAATATTTATGCAGCTTCCCCTATCTTCTGTGGATTTTCCTTTCCTTCATTTCTTTGACACTTTGGCTTTTTTTCACTCTGATTTACACATACCTCCCTGCATCCTGTTTCAGCACCTTTTTCCTTTCCTTCTCCCTCTTTCACTTTTTCCTCATTCTATCTTGCATCCTGTCAGTCCCCTGTGCTACTATTCAGATACTGTTTTTCTAAGTTGCCCATCTAGTAAGGAGCTGTCATCTATAGTAGTCACTGAGAGTTTTGTTCCTGATCTCAAAAGCCTCAGTGCTGTGTCACCCAGAAAGCTTGAGCAATTAGGTCTTATTGCTATTACAAGATTTGTCTTTTTCCTTCTCTCACCTGTGCTCCTGAGTGGTGTATTTGAGCAGTTCTGCAAGCTGCAGAGGGTATTTGCAGATTTTCTGAACGGGTGTGAGAAGAAAACCATCAATGGCAATGTCAATCATCTGCTGAAGCAAGCGACAGGCCTCAAAGAAGTGACGGTATTTGCCCTGTTTCATTAGTTTGGAAAGTTCAATGCAGGCACTGGGATGATTGTTACAATACTCTGAATAAATAGCAAAGCCTTCTTGCTACAAAAAAAAAAAAGTCAAAATTTTAACTAAAGTATGTATCTATAAAGGAGAAAAGATATTTTTGTAACATGTATTATATCTAATTAGATTCACTAATCCATTTCCTATATTGTTTCCAGGCTGATCAGCCTTGAAACTATGCAGAAATCTGCTTTGTAACTGTCAAAACTATGTACCTTTTTTGTAAGAACACAGAAATAGAGGCCTCCATTGAATCAGGATAATCAAACCCACTTTAAGACGTACTTTTCTTTGTGGCAGACAGGTATAGGCTTACCAAGTGTCTATCATGAACTCACAGTCTCTTTCCCCACCACCTTCTTTTATTTTCTTTAGGAAGGTTTTGCATGCCCAATATGAGATCACTGCAAATAGTCCAGCTCATCTGTGATCATTAGTTTTAAGAAAGAAACTTAAAATTGTGTACATGCTTGCTAAAGATGAGGGGAAATCTAAAACATTTAAATAATTCTTTAATTATGATTTTTTTTTTCTTTCTAAAATGCTTTAGTATTTGATAAGCACTTGTTACTAAAAGCCCCTCCTAACATGGTAACTTAGCATTTTCTTATTTTGTAAATTTCATACATAAAATCGGCTTTTGCCACATACATGTTGAAGAAAACATGACCCTATTTCACTTAGATGAGGTTCCTCTTTGTTGTACTGTTTCTCAAGATCCTTCAGAAACTTCCTTTGGAACTTGTAAATATCTTCAATATTTCCAAAAATGGTGCTTAACTGAGCTGGGGTGAACATTCCTGTATGTTTGCGACACTGCCGAATATAACCCTGGAAATTGAATAAAAAAACCTCTTTAGTTTGAAGGCATGGAAACAGGTTCTACCCTGAACAAGCCCATTTGAGCTGGCAAAACCCCGGTGATCTACGAGCAGGTGAGTGGTTTCCCAGCCATGCACACACACACACAGACGTGCAATTTCAGATTTGCATCAGAAATGTTTACGCATCGGTTCTTGCAGCTCAACTTCTGTCTCACAGTACCATAAATGAATTGGGGAACCAGTGACTAAAGCCCAATTGCATCTTCTTGTTACAACTACCTGCCAAGCTGGAGGCAAGCCCGGTGTCAGGCCCCATGCATACTACTACTTTAGCTGCCACGCTTTTCCACAGCAGTTTCTCTATGCCGTTACAGTTCTTCTCTATGCAGGTAAGAACAAATCCTAAGACAATTTCTACCAGGGCTAAAGTACTGGTTCCTTGACCAATAGGTAACTAGGGCATAGGCTAAGCCAAAGAAGCATTCAGAATGCTGCGATTTGGTAAAAACTATATACTATTGGCAGGAGGTAATAGTATTGGCAAGACTGCACATATAATCGCTTTTCCAGTTTTTTTTTATGAGGAGGATATAGTGCACGGGCTGAATATCCAGGAATAGCTGCTGTGCTCATACTCTCCTATCAGTTATGGTGCCGGGGTACAGATGAGTGTGAAGGTTAACTGGTGTGAGAGGGGTTATCTGCCAGGCTCCTCCATTTGGCTGCTTTCAGACAGGTTTCCCCCAAATCGCTTTGGGAACAGACAGCTGTAAAAAGCCTTGCCGTTGCTCCGGTGAGGTTTACCAGGAAGCAACTCTGAATATTGCTGGCACTGTTATGAATATTCCTGTCTCCTCCACAGCCATCTGCTTTGAGAGCTGTGCAGTGGCTCTGCTGCAAGCCAGCTACCAGGTTTACTACTATTAGGAGGATAACTCCAACAAGGAAAATTAATTCCTGTGCAGCTCCTGTAATGTGGACAGCAGACACTTCCTAAATGTAAAATGTTTTTCTGGGTATACTCCAGCTTCACAATCCTGACTGCACCAGCAGTGATTCATTCTAGTGCAGAGCTTGCAAATTTGGATTATTATCTGCAGTAGCTTTTCTGGCTTAGTCTTACTTGAGTGTATTTTCAGCCTTATGTCCTGCTTGCACCGCCCTGCGGATTCACTCTGAGGAAAGCAGACCATCTCTACCCCACATGTTGAATATGGAGCATCACTTCTCTACTTGGAAAATGCGCGTTTGCTCTCTTACTAACTTAGAGGCATGTCAGATTTTTAAAAAGAGGTATAGAATATATGTATTGGAGAAAATTAATTATTGATATCAGTCTAAGAATTAATAGCTCAGTAAAAAATGAAAGTCATGTCCTAGAACTCAGCCAAGCATGGCAGCAACACAGCTGCGTGTACAAATTCTTCCTTGATCTTTTAGGCACACAGTCAAACTTACTAGCATAAATAAATAGTGAATCTACATGACAAAACTTACATTTAATGTTTTAAAATTAGCCAATTAGCAACCAATTTTTGTCTTTTTGTTTTCCCTTTTTTCTTTCTTCAAAATGCATAAAAAGGCCTGATCAAAAAAAGAAAAATCCAAAAATCCCACTGCTGTCTTGTCTACTTTGCTGTCCATGAAAGAATCTAATGATGAGTGGTTGACTAAAGGATGACAACATGACAAATACAGAGAGAGACGTGGCAAACGAAGGGTACAAAGAATATTTTAGTAAGTTGCTTAGCACCTTTGCAGATGCTAACCACAAATGCAAGTCAAATACAGGCCAAATGCGTCACAGTCCACGTCAGAAGAGGCAAACTTCAGTGAAAAGTATTAAGAAGCTTGTTGTCCAAGTGTGGGCCTCCAACAAAATTTGAACAAAAAGCAGAACCACCCCCCTCACATTTTATAGTTCAAACAAGCAAGGTAGTTCTAAAACACCTTTAAAGACTTCTTCATAGCTACTAAGCATCCACCAAAAATCTCTTTGTTAAAGAAAACAAAAAAAAAATCTCACCCAGCAAACATTCTCTTTGCAAGTTACTTTCAAAAAGTTTTTTCTCTGAAGTGTAATTGATTTTATTAAAGTTACTGAAAGTTTTCTATCTAAACCAAGTGGTAAAAGGTTCTAAGTAAACTGGATTTCCTTCTCTCATTATTATGGAAATAGCAGTCAGATAAACAAAGCACTTTTTCCATGTCAAAAGTGGAATGTTTTCGGTTTTTTTAAAAGGAAGTGGTGCCTTGTGGCAGAGAGGAAAGCCATAAGAGGACACAAGAAGGTTCTGACTGACAGCCTCAGAAGTGCAATCAGGAATATTTTGATATGAGAAACCACTCTGGTTCTCAACTTATATGGGATGTTTTGTTCACATTAGTTCAGCAGAAAGCCCTCAGGTTAAAGCATGTACCTCACAGATGTCCTTGAGATGCTTGATATAGACTCGTTCTGTGTTCATAATTTCCTGTATAACGTTGGTTCTCATCTGATCCTTGTTTTCAGCTATTTTCTGACGATGCTTGCTAATATCTGCATCGTGTTCTTCATCCTGGATACTACTACAATTTTCTGGCACTTCTTCCTGATTAACTCGCAGCTGCAGCCAGAACAAACAAAGCAATCTACAGTAAAGCAGCAAACTTTTACAAAACATAGTAAAACTGTTACAAGCTTCTTACAATTAAGAGAGGACTTGCTACTGAAATGTTCCCATTCTTACCTTATAGAGAGGATTCCACAACAGGATTTATCTCATTGTACCCACTGCATATTCAAATAAAGTGTTAAAATTTCTGTCTGTTTAAATACATGGCTTTCTAATCACAATATCTGAGAGATACCATGTTGTGTTGCCTGTGTATTTTTCAGACTTCAGCTTATTTCTGACCCTTACTAATAGTTTATGTGTTATTTTGGCCAAGCCAGCACATGGGTAAAAATTACAAAACTAGTCAAATCAAAGACTTTTAAATAGTTTCTTTCTGCCACAGTTCCCTATCTGCACAATGTGGGTAACAGCACCTCCTTTTTTGACTTTTGTCTGATTGCCCATATTGGCAGGAGATCTAGGAAGGGCAAAGGCAGGGACCACCTCTTGCACTTTGTGCAGTACTTCAGTGCAGCCCAAGCTTCATTACAAGCTCTCATGATGTACTTTAGATTAATTTCTAAAATGTAGTTCAATGTTATACCATTTGAGAGTTATACTGTCACGATAATCTGGCTGAGTTCTGACTGGGGAGTTCAGACTGTGAACCAGATTCCTTCACAATGCTGTGATAATAAATTAGGCCCTATTTTACCAAGAAATCCCTGCAGCATAGCTTTCCCCACTCCCTCATGAAAACTACTGCATCCTCTCCATCTACACTGACCGCTCCTGATTGAGCTTTCTGCTGCACTCATTTCTGCTTGAGAAATTCCTTTGGTTACAAAAGGACCACACAATCGAAGAAGCTAGACTAAAAGGTCTCAGAGGAGCTAAGGGATCTTGGGGTGTGATCCTCTATTGCCTTCTGCCTTGTGAAGCCATTAGGAGTTATACCACTGATGGTCAGATATGAAGACGCACTTAAATCTAATGCCATGACCATTGCTCTGTTGCCCTCTGCTAGGAATCTCATGTGACAACGGTGCTAAAGCAAGCGTTACTCACCCTGACAAAGCTAGCTGGAAACCAGGCTTCCTTGTCCTCATTTCTTCCCCACCACCAGTCTTTGTTGGAAGCTTCTAGGACTCTAATGACGTCTCCAGCTTTGAAGCCCAGCTCTTGATCGTCCATAGTCACATGGTCCCAGAGAGCTTCTGCATAGACAATGCTGCCATCGCTTATCAGCTGAGATGGGAAGAAAATGAGGTTGTGAAGGACAAAGAATAAACAATTAACTACTTAGACATTACTAAAAAGATCAAAATACTGCAATAGAGTATCCATGACTACTCCTATTATAGGATAAAAATAAAGTTCCAGATTTTCAGACATCTCTGCATATATCTGTTAGTGCGAACAATTAAAAGCCCTACTCCAAAGCAGTTACGTAGGCTAATGAGTGAAGTATTGGTCCCTGTGCTCTTCCCTTGGCATCTGCTTGTGGGCCCTGCAGTGCACCATGGCCGCTTGATTCTTCGCTATGCTGGCTGCTGCCACTGCACTTTTTCATTAATATGAAACCTCAGAGCTGTGGAAAACACACACCCCCATCATTACAGCAATGCAAAGCCCAGGACGTTACCTCATTAATTGCTAGCTGTTCCCCTCCGGGCTGCAGGTACCTGGGAGTGGCTTGGCAGAGCTCCTCGTAACTGTAGTCTTCCTCACTGCCATTGTCATCCACTAAGGCCGAAGATTCAGTCCCACCATCTGCAGCAACTAAAACAAAGGTGCAACAGCTGTTTGTTTCATCATTTTTATGATTCCCCCCCAAAAAAAAACAATGCAAGAGGAATTGCTGAGAAGTTGCCTTTGTTATCATGAATATAATGATAACAGCAGAAGTGGAGGGCAGCAGAGCTCTCAGGAAAACTGCTTTTCCGCCATGAATTACTTTTTACTCTTCTTCAGAATTTTCTCATTTAGCAGCTGACAAAACTGAGAAATTCTCCTTTTTGTGTGTGAAAACCAGACCTAGCACCATTATTTATGTATTTTTTACTCACAGAAAATCTTGAATGACCTGAACCAGAAGGGCGGTCTCAGTGCCACCTCCCACATCGCAGGCAAGAGAACTCCAGCAGGCCCCGGCAGTCAGAGGGGACCACTGTTGATCCCAGGCTGGCTGCCATCACATCGTCGCATCCCCTGCAGGGACGTAACGACCAGACACTCCATGCCCACCCACCTGTGAGAGGGGTGGGCAGCCCACGCCACAGCCCTGGCTCTGAGCCGGCTGCCGAGACCTCTCCCAGGCGCCAGGGAAGGCTCTGGCAGCACCGAGGTACCCATGGGGAAGCCCACCAGGACAGGGAGTCTGGACTGACCACAGTGTCACTGCCTGAGGAAAAACTTGTTCTACTTGCCCCAAATCACAAAAAAATTCTTGCTTTGACGATTGCACATTCTCTGACCAAAGAGGCAGCTTTGTAAAGAAACAGAGGCCAGAGCTAAGATGGGTTTCATCTTATTACACAGTCACATAAACCAAGAGAAACATCAGGTAAATGACTGTCAGTATTGCACATGTAAATCTGCCGCTACTGTATAAAACTGTAAAACCTGTTTGGGGTACATCACTGGGTGGTAGATCCTTTCAGCGATCATCTCCGTACTGGCAGATGAAAAGGGCTGGGAACTGATCTCAGGACCAAGTAATTCTGACTCACCTCCACACTGCTCAGTGCTAGACCCTTTTAGACTAGGTTTGCCTTTGAACGCCAGCAACCATAGTCTCCAAAAGAGATCAGGGGATGAGCTAGTAATCAAGAAGCATTCATGACTAGTGGCCCTTGACTGTACTCTCTGGTCCTTGTTAATTTATCCCCAAAGATTTATTCCTATGTCAGGGCCAAGCCGTGAATAACTAGAGAGTCTGAAGCTCATACAGTGCTCAAGAATCCAATAAAAAATAAAATTGGGAATGGGCTGCTAGCACTGAACGCCTTTTTTTAATGGTTACTGTGTCCCAGATAAGTTGCCCCACAGCCTGCAGAGCATCTCTCACTCCCCAGTGCCTGGGAAGGGACCTTTAAGTGGAGTTACCGAACCTGCCGCTCCCACCCAGCGAGCAGGGCCCCGACCCTGCCTCTTCTCTGCCCTGCTCGCAGCCTGGGTACGGCGGGCCTGCCAAGCTCCGGCCTCCGGGTGGGTGAGTCGCAAAGAGATGACTCCCGGCTTTACTCCATGCACCGACACAACTGGCAGGCACACTGTCACCTATCTGCTATTTACTCTACAGGGAGAAACGCTTTAACCCTCTCCTTATGGGTGATCATACCATTGCTAGCATCTGTGGTCATCTGGGTGTTAATTTGCAAGAGAGATCAAAGCTGATTACTGCACAGATTTAACTAAAAAACTTGGAAGATTTTTATTTTCTTTAAAGTGGAAAAATCTGTCATAGCCATGATGTAACACAGCATGGCTATTCAACTGTTCCGTTCTACTCCCCTGCATTTCAAATATACACTCACATTAATGGTATAATCTGCATAACCAGGGAGGATGCAGAATCCATATTTAAAAAAACAACATTTTTTTCCCGACAGACTCATAAATCTGAGCACTGATAAACTTTTAAAATACATCTTGTGAAACTTACTGAAACTGCTTTATTAAAAAAAAATAATCTGCAAATAAATATTCCATTAAATTAATTTTTACCTTATAAAGCACTAACTAAAACATTATTCCCAGTGATTCTTTATACATCTCCACTATACTATCAGTTCTGCCTGCTGGTTGTTCCAGTAACAACAGCACATCAAAACAATCTAATTCATTTGGCTCGAGATGAAAAATGACTGCAATTTTGGGACTGATAACTGTTCGTTATTCTGTACCAAATCAACAAGCTTACATTGTCTTCGTAGTTAGACTCAAATGAAAATCAGTCGCTTGCATTCTGCATCTATTCCTCTATTGTTTACAGACAGAAATATCAGAGGTAGGGGTAGGCTTTCCCGATCGCTCCAATGGGATGCAAAAACTTAAAAGACAGCCTGGGACTGATTCTGATCTCCAGCAGCTTTGTCACCGGTGTAAGGCTGCAGGTTCCCGTGGATGACGCGGTATAAGCACAATCAGGATCAGGCCCAAACTGCCACAGTTTATCAGTTCAATCTAAAAACACCATAAAAAATAGCGCAAGAGAGAGCATGTTCTACTCACACGTACCCATCTGAAGGCTCTCCAGACTCCAAAATCGTGCCATGCCCCCCCTGGCTACCATGCTGCCGTCAGACCTGACCTCAGGGCAAGGATCTGACCTCTGACAGGTGATGCTCGGTCCTGAAGGGCTGGCGGAAGATCACAAAAGGCTCTGAGCTGCCCACAGCGCAGAGAAACAGCCTGTTCGCTGCCTTCAGCTCCTGGTTGTGCCTCCGAGGCTGAGCCCAGCAGGGAACTGCCAGCGGTGCGCGCTCAGCCTGGCCGCAGCGAGCTCACAGCTCGCTGACATCATGGGGTGCCCTTAGGGAGGAAGTTCCAGAAAAGAAACAAAAACCTGGCTGCCTGGCCCCGGCCGGGCTGTGCCCACAGCCGCCTGCGCCACCCAGACTGCTCCCAAAGTGCCTGAACGTCTCACACGCAGCAAGCCAAAGAGTACATTTGTTTTTCATTAAAGCAGCTTAATGTGATTTCAATCTATATTCAAATGACTGGGATTCAAAGGGAAAGGCTATTTGGATGGGAGCTGGGAGTTCCTTGTATTACAACACTGTTCGGAGTATCAGTCTATCTTTGTTATATTATACCAGTTAAAATTCCAGTAGAAGTAAACAATGAAGGCATTTTTTGCATGGCTATTAAAACTTCTCTTGCTTCACAGACAAATGCTGTATCGTTATTTAGGGCACAAGCAGACGAAGTGTTAAGGCTACAGCAGGCTGCTCCCAGGAAAAGAGGGAAGGACGGAGACATTTTCTCACTCAAACTACAAACTTAATTTAGCTGCTCCAGAAAATGGGGAATGAAGCAGGAAAGCACCCAGATAGTCCAGCTTTCACTGGGGCTGACCCAGCCAGAGCACAACCTCATTCATTAGCCATGGGCCAGCATTTACCACCTTTACATCCACATCCTTCTGCAGCGAAGCTGGAACAGTTCACGCACTAGAAGCAAAGGCAGGAGCTGCTCCCATCAGCAGAGTGCAAAGCCTGCTGCAGTGTGCGCTTGTACACAGCACTGCATTTATGGTTTGGAAAGCTCCATAATCTTTATGGCTCATTCTTTACCTGCAAACTGCATTGCTCAGCTGAGCCTGTCCTTTAACTGGGGACTGCCTCCACCAGGGACGTGTGTGGAGGCATTTCTGCACACAGCGACCTCTCAACACCCACTGAAATCACATGGTTTCCCCTAGCGCTGCTTCAGACGGAGAAGGAAAGGCCAAACATTGCCCTGCAATATTAATGCCATCTTTCTACAAAAATCCAGACTGTGCTGCACTGCACAGAAGACTGATAGGAATTCTCTTCTGAATCCTCAAACTTCCTTCCCTATTATTTCTTGTTGCAAGGACACTTGTTGGATAGCACAGTAAAAACAAGCTACTACATATTAGATTTATACACAGCCCCGCACATTATTCTCGGCACAAATCATTAAAAAACCCCCAACAACCCAGCAATCAGAAGCGACACTGAAGCGCTGATGATCCTGGGACCTGCAAGCGAAGGCTTCACGCTTTTGATCAGCCAGAGCACAAGCTCTCTGCCATGTCAAACCCCTACCCACAGGGGAAAAAGAGCTCAACTGCCAAAGCAAAACGAGATCAAACCCCACACAGCTCTTCTAGAAGATACGTTAAAAACGATCTCTGAAAAACAGTCATCTGGTTTGATTTTTGCAGAACGGAACAGACTGTGTGCTTTTGCCCGATGACTAACCCAGCGCCACACGTGGGATGCTGCTGGGGGCGGGAGGGGATCTGTTCTCCCTCCTCTGCACAGGCACATCTGCAACTGTGCAGCCACAAACTGAACCACCACAAAAGTACTCGTTTGGGGTGAGCTGCTGCTGGGTTCGTTTTCTCGCAGGATCAGGCAGGGACAGGAGGAGGCACAGGCTGTCCTTTGTAGTGGCAGTCCACAGTGACCCTCTCCAAATGCGTGCCGAGCTGTCTTACCCGATGCTCAGGGCATTCTGCAAAGGCTGTGGGTAACACATACTAAAATACTAAAATGAAAAGCTAGTTCATCTACCACATGAAAATCCGGTTCTCCACCCCAGGGCATACCAAAGGTCCCCCCAGCCCACCGCTCTGACAGCAGCCAGTAGCAGATGCCCAGGGAAGAACATAAAAATAGATGAGGCATGTAATGGCATTTTTCTGATGTACTTTCCTAAATTCCAGCTATCTGCAGATCAGAGTCAGATCCCTGCTGGGGCAGATGTGATATCTTTGTGTTTAATGAACTGAATTTTTCAAACCACTTTCTGAATTTCTGTAAACTTTTGAGATGTGAAATATCATGTGTAGAAAGTAGTGTCATAGTTTAATTTTACAGAGTGTGAATATTATGTTATATTTTGAACTTGCTGTCTGATGATTCCATTTGGTGTCCTTTAGTTCTTACATTATTGGAAACAATAACTATTACCTGTTCATTTTTCCTGTGCCAATCAGACTTTTATAGAATCATAGAATCACAGAATAGTTTGGGTTGGAAGGGACCTTGAAGATCATCTAATTCCAACCCCCCCCCGCCATGGGC